GTCCATGTCAGCCATTCTTCTACCAATATCTCAACACTTGCTGGGCCAATGTTCAGTCCTGGGAAAACTCTGAGCAAAGCTTGAGAGATTTGCTTTCCCATATGTTTATTTCATCAGAGAATCTTCCATATTGTGTTGAAACTTTCTGCTTACCAACCTGTCTTCTCTATTAGATTCTAAGCTCTGTGAAGGCAGAAACTATGTTTTGTTTTCAGTTGTACCCCAGTACCTAAACTAGTAGATTCTCAATAAATACTTGTTGAATGAATGAGTTAATATTGAGTGTTTTACTACCATCAGCATCATTACAGCAATCAGCACCACTATCACCACCACCACCATTATCACTATTATCATCATCACCTTTACCATCATCTCCACCATAACACCCACTAATACCACCATCAAGCCATATTGGGTACCTAATCCTCTTTAAGAGCTCTTTATCCAGGGGCCCAATGCCTCTGGCTATTTAGATTTACATCTTTCTTCATGTATTTCCTTATTTCAAAATTCACCTGTCTCTGGACCCCATTCCCTTGGGTCCTTTTTTTCTTGGAAGTAGCTACTTGATTTGATATAGTAATTGTGTTATTGGTACTAATGCGTTGGTAATGGCCCTCTAAGGTAATATGATCTGAGAGTAAGGACAATATCTAGTTCCAGCTAATCCACTTATTTGCTGTGTGACCTTGAGTGACATCATTTCCAAGGACCTTTGCTGCTTCACCTGAAAGACCCCTGGTGAGGCATCCAGATCTCATGCACTGGTTCTCTGTGCATTTCAACATAGATCTTCTATTGATAAAGTCCCAACTCAAAGGAGCAAATCTGCACAGAGGTGAGGTTAGGGGTTTTGCAGTGAATAAGCAAGTGGTGTCTGCTTAGTAAGCAAATAAGCTTATATTATAAGCAACAGTGGCCATTGAGCAGCAGTGCACCTCCCTAGAGAACTTCTCTGCCCACAGTTGCTGCCAGATCCAATCAGTCATGGGGGAAGAAACAGACACAGACAGGTAACCACTCAGCAGTAACGAATGCCAGGTGATTGTCACTGTCTCCCCCTTTCCCCAAGACCATGTTGTACTTGTCACAACATGGCATCACACAACTGTTTTGATAGCCTGACTGAGGCTCAGAGTCCATGTCTAGTTTTTTTGCAGTCATCCAGGGCCAACAGTGGAAAGCTTTATTAATGCCCCGTGAGCAAAATACCTTTTCAGGTGGCACAAAGCATCTTTCTAAAATTTTCTTGGCACATTTCCTGGCAACTGTCCTGGTGGGTACTGTCACATCAGGTATGAGGTGGAAAGAAAACAGGACTCAAGCAATGTAATTTAAAGGAGAGAAAGTATAAATTTGGATAAGTTTCTTCCTTTTTATAATTTTCTCTTTTGAAAAATTTCCTCTCTTACATCAATCTGCAGTGTAGTTTTGGTAAATTGCACTGCTCAATATTTAGAAAAGTTAAATAAAAGGTAGCTTACATAAGGTGATAACATCTCAGGCCCAATCCCCAGACAATGAAATTACAGGATTTTTAGAGGTTCTTCTGGGAGAATACAATAGCCCAAAGCTGTCCAGATTGTCAAAAACTTTTCCCATTTTCACATCAAAGTGAAGTAACAGCAACATAAAATAAGAACTAATAAGATACTAAATTTATAAAGGGAAAAGAGAAGAAAGAAGAGCATTATTTTGAAAAATAAAAGGGTATTCTCACTGCTACTGGAATAACAAATGCAGTTTGAGTACAGGGACAAAATTTCATTTTGAAGATGAAGTGAGGCCTGGGGAGGCTGAGTGACTTGCCCTGGGTCACATTGTAAGTTATGACTGAGTCAGAACCGAGAGGACTGATCTGGCAAGGACCAGGGCCTTCCCATACGATGCTGCCTCCACTTTCTCTTCAGTTGAGCAATGAAAACTAGCAGGTTTTGAATGAGGAAAGAAGAGAGGGTTATGCCCATTGCATAGGCAGGGAAACTGAGCCACAGACGGGTTTACTACTGTGGTCCTCTCTGGGGCGATTTTGATCCCCAGGGGACATTTGGCAATATCTGAAGACATTCTTGATTGTCACTACTAGTGGGGGGAAGATGCTACTGGCATCTCTTGGGTGAAAGCCAGCGATGCTGCTAAACACCCCCTTGTGCACAGGATAGCTTCCACAATAAAAAAAAAATCGCCCAAGGTCATAGACGCTGGACAAAAGCGATTTTTATCTGGGGATTATGCACTTAAAAATCCATATTTATGTATATGTTACTATTGTTATCAATAGACAGTTTGTACAACCTGAGTTACTCTCTATGCTCACTTAGCATCGTGCACCCACCTACTCCCTGCAAATTTCCTTGCCAACCTTCAGTGCTAGACTTTGCCGTGACCACAGTAAGCCAGTTTGTCTTTGGGCTTCAAATTGGCTCTTGCCTCTTGTCCCCACTCGACCCTTTCCAGGTGCCCAGCCAGGGCCAGACTGCTCATCCTCACTCCTTTCTGGCAACAATTGACCCCAGGAGATTTCTACCTCCCATTAATGTCATCTCCGCATGAATTGAAATCAGTGTGTTACCCTTCCCAGAAAATGTATGCGTCACGATGTATCTCTGTTTCAGTACTTGTATCCCGTGAAAGGACTTTCCAGCCTCAGTGACCAGGCTGGGGAGATGTTTGAGAAGAACTCCCTAAACAATTTGTAATGGCCTCTGTTCTTCCAGTGGACTGGGCCAGCCCCCTGAAAGCGTACACAGACCCATCTGCCTCGGAATCAGGGTTCTGGCGAGACTCGCAACTTTGCAACGTTTTCTGGGCTCTCTAAATACATCTTCTCATATTTCGAGGCAAATCTTTAATTGAGAATTTGAGTGGTTTTTTTGTTTGCTTTGCTTTGTTTTGTTTTCTTTCCTTTCAATCTTTGCTTAACTTTGCTCAGCAATTTCATGGTAGACTTCTGAGATTTGGGAACAGAGAGGAATTGCCTAAATGATCAGAAAACTGTTGATTTTTTTTTGAAAGTGTCATTTTTTAATTGATTTTTGGAAGCTCAATATTTTAGTTTCTAAAGTCATTATAAGTGAATAGATTTCGTAAACACTCTTTTAAGGATTAAAGGAGATAATAATTGTGAAAGGGTTTTGAAAACTATCAAACATGTATTTTGTATGTGTTAACCATGGCGGTGGTAAAAATAGATATATTGTCCTGAAACGGCCCAGGGTGGGAACTCTGCCCCCTAACACCCAAGGGCTCTCCCTCCAAAAATCAAACCAAATCAAACACCTCCCCAAATAGATTCTGTCTACTTCTAATTCTTGTAAGCGGGTTATAGATATTCAAAATTAGAACTTCATAGGCTTTTTTTATTAATAAAATTTCAAGGCAATTTACATTAGGATTAGCTGTTAAATTCAAGATTTAACAGTTTCCGCTTGGCCAAATGCACTATAGAAAGTATTGGCTTAGCTGTTTTATGTTGGCTTTCCTGTTGCATTAGCTTGTGTTAGGCTGTGATTTCTAGATTAGGAAAATACACACAATGTGTGAGTAAGCTTACCACATTGATGAGCATGCCATTTTAGAATGCATAAGAAGGAATTAATTTATACTCAACCACTCCTAGCTATCATTTCCTGTCTCATTGTAAACCTGTCATGGTGACTTCAGAGGAGAAGAAAAAGGGGAATCTTGTCTGTGAAACAGGAAAAATAGAGATTGACTGCAAGTCTAATGCATGTTGTTGTAAATAGCTGCCATAAAGAAATTCCTCAATTCTTTATAATTCGTTGTCTTTTCATTATGCAATGTAAATTAACAACAGAAAACAAAACTGCCTATAAATGTTAGTTTCTATCTCCTCTTTTTAAGCTCCACTATTTCATAAATTCACTTGTAATTTAGTTATTAATAAAGTGAAAACAATCCTTCTAAACAACTAACTAGAAATTATGTTTCATATCATCCTCAGTCTAATGTTGATTGATTGGACAATATTGATTTTATTTAGCTCAAATCAAACTCAAAGAAAAAATTCTTCAAAGAGAGAATTTTTAAAGAAAACTTAAGGAAATTGGAAATATAAGGATTTGGTTTTTGCTCAGTCTTTGATGGAATGAAATAGCACCTAACTTAATGCATCTTCAGGAATATCTGCTCATGAACCAGCTTTGATATGCTTGTATGCACCAAGGGCAGGCTCTATGTGCTATGTATATCAGTACAGGCCAGGACTGCACGGGACCTGGGCATCACCTTAAATTCACCTCCTACAGCTGACCCCTAATCTTCTCACTCATGGAAATTCTGTCTCTTCTCACAGGAAGTTATTCCATTGCAGGATCTCTGTATTCTCTAAGATGTTTCAGGATTTCCTACAAAGAGCAGCATGGAAGGTAGAAAATGTCTAGATTTGGAGTCAGCAGATCTGGGTTCTAGGGGAAGCTTTGTCACTGACAACCTGTCATCATACCATTTCCTAACTTGTAAAATGGCATGAGTAATACCCACCCTGCTTATCTCATGCGATTAGTGTGAAGAATCAAAATCCATTTCATAAACTATAAAGCCCTATGGTGAGGTATTATTATAATAGAAGCTAGGATTAGATAGAGTCATTTATTTCTTTACTCTTACTGTGGGTGTGAAAATGGAGAAAAGCTGTGTCTTGCGTCTTTTTTTTGGTGCCTCTTGAAGTCTGTTTGTTTGATGATAGTCACTGACACTTTGTCATGGTCACTCCTCAATCCCTAGGCAGGAGATTCTTAAGAATAACTGGTCTACAGTATCATGGCATCTATCAACATTTGTCTGAAGCCAAAGAAACATAGTACTAAGATAAGAATTTTGTTTTGTAGCACATAACAAGTTAAGAGAATTCCAGGCTATTATAAATAAAAGTTAGCTAAGTTTAAGTCACAATTTCAACAGCTCTTAATGAACTAGCATGTGTACTGGGGCAAATGATGTGGACTTGATTTTTGTAATCAGTAGTTGTTGCTTACCATCGCTGAGCCAACTCGGCTGACTTTGATGGGATTCCCTCTGCCTGAAAGGTCCATTTGTGCTCTATCCATCATATACAGGCAGGCGTCCAGGATGCCATCCTCAAACTATTTGGGGAGAAAAAATGAGAAACTTCTTAACGTCCACTGTGCAAGCAAGATGCTCTGACAAAAAATAAAATGAAACCGCAACCTAATGTTTAGAAATGTGTATTTCATATATAGTAAATGCCCCTAATCTTTAGTATGAAATATTAAAGTGGAATAAAGGAAACATCCTCTTTTATTTCTCAGCAAAATGAATAAGAACTTAAAAGCAAGCTAGAAATTTAAACAGAACTGCCAGGGAACTGATATAGTCAGGGATCATGAACTGACTTGAAGTTCTTCAGAAAATTGTACAAGTTAATTTAGAGGATCTCTCCCACACAGCGGTTCCAGTGCCCAAGGCAAAGAAATGAATGATTTACCAAAGTCAGGCCAAAGTCTTCAGACCTCAATCGTTACATGAGTCCTTGTACGTCTGGAAAATAAATGGCTCTTAGGTATATCACAGGGTGTTACATCAGGCCTATGTAACTCGCACCAGAAATAGTAGGACATGTCATGTAGTGAAAGTCTGTCTAAGGTTTTCCCCCTTCTGAGGCAAGGTGGACTCCAGGGTCAGAGAGTGGGCAGGAGAAAGTAGATTACATTGCGAAGGGAACAGCTTAATAGTCAGTTCAATTTCCTTAGAGAGATCTGCTAGCCATTTGCAACACCAGCATTTTCAAAAAAAAAAAAAGGAATAAACACAAAATAGTCATAAAATGGCAAAATGGGAAGATTTCACCTATACTGTACCTCACTATACTGGAGACTTTCCTGAATACAGAAATATTGCAATTATCCACACAAGTACTTATGACAGAAACCACAATCTTATTGACTAATTACCATGTAATTCTTTATTAAGTCCAGTTAGAATACCAACTCTATATGTACCCTAAACTGATGTGATGGATGCAGTAATGGGTAACTGCACTAGTTCTTGGTATGTAAAGAACTCATCACCCTGGTTCTTATTAAGAAGCATATCTCATCTGTGTCTGGGACCTGATAGCAGTGAACTGGAGAGTTGAAAGTCATAGAACTAGGTGTTTCTCTGCATCACTGCAAACTACTGGTTTAGCTGGTTCTATATGCTGAAGGACCCAAATTGATAGACTCCAAGTGATAGTAGAGACAGTGTGGCTGTGTTCAAGGGTGTCTACCAATGGCGTTGTGGCCGAGGAGCCCCGACCATGCTCAGGACCATTTCCCAGTCCTCCTTGCTACCCACCTTGATGACTTTGTCCTTAATAGCTGTTTATATATTGTCACATTAGGAACATAAATAGAATCACACCTAAAGGTTAGGAATCTGGAACCCTAAGCAAGGGTACCAGGCAATAGGCAATGGTCAAGAGTTGTATGTCACTCAGGAAGAGGCAGGCTTATAACCAGGGAGCCAGGCAGGGATTCAAAACAGGGGAAGAGGATATAGGTCATTAGCTTGACAGGATGTCATAAGTGCTGGTGGGCAAGACTGAGCACTGGGCATGTGATTCTCAGGAGTCAGGGTGCAGCAGCGGGGCACAAAGCCAGTTGGACAAGATAAGAGCTAGAGATGACATGGGTCCCACTGTTTAGGCTGGAGCAGGGGTGAGAGGTGAGAGAGTCAAAACAAGGCATCAAGAAGCCAAAGAAATATCACGTGACCTGGTGAGGCAGGTTATGTGATCTCTGCCTGGGTACCAGAACAAAGGTGCATAATTTCAATCTTCTCAGCCAGAACTCTCTGACAAAGGACACATTCACCTCCTCTCATGCTGCGATAAAAAGTTGTTTCTGAATCATAGGACATGCATTCATTTATAGAATTATGGTAAAATATCCATTTGTTCTATTGCTAAAGATATCAAACTGAAATAGTTCAAGTTATTGAATACCTTAAATGAAATATCACTTGCTACTTTATATCCAGACAGTAACTCGAGGTTGCAGCAGACAAAACGTCTCTTGAAAAAAAGCTCAGTGGGCCCTCCTTTGATGAAATGGGAAGACTCTTTTCTAATTAACAGTATCTTATACTAACACTTAAGAAAAGTTATTTCTTTGCAGTATCCTTTACATCATTATCAAAACACCTTTCCTTATAAGGAAAAAAACCCAGTCCATTTCAGGTTGTAGGACAGTGTCTGAGCTAAGGAGATTTCACTGTGCTAAGATGCCAAGCATTTCTTGCCACAATGCCATGTGATCCACAGACTCTCTGATCTCTGTAACATTGTAATAGCGGAAGATATGTGATTTCAGCTCATAAATTATGCAGTTGCCTTTCTAAGTCTCTACTCCTGGCCTCCCTGTCTTGGAGTCTCAGATCCTGAAAAGCAGGAAACTGTGCTTGTCTAATATTGACATATGGCACCCTGCAGTGATACATGTGACAAAAAATATTAAGCAAAAATGTCCTTCACAATGACAAATTTTAAATGGCTCACCTGACCATAGCTCCAGCTTCTACTCCTGATGTTATTGGCGTCTCCATAAAAAATCACCCCGATGTCATTCAGGACATACTCTTCTTTTTCTTTATCATCATCCAGGTACACAGCATCATCTGCATCAGAATTTAAACATAAGAACACTGTCAAACCAGACTGTATTTGTATATTTGAAGTTGGTTTTGGTGCTAAACTGTAATTAAATCAACTAAATGAAAAAAAAGGTATTTTGTCTCACTAAAGATAACTCATTTCCCAATATGTAATTTTAGCAATGGTGGACATAACAGTAGCCAAGATCACTCTGTAAATGATGACATTTGTCAGCAAAATGCTGACAAACTCTGTCTCTTTAAGTTCTAAGCAGCACAATTAAATCCACATGTCTCTTTAAACATTTTAGGATTCTGATGCATCAGTAGTTTCAGAATCAGAATTCTGTGATGCAGATACAAATCTGTAACAAAGATCAAAAATAATTTTCAACCTATTAATGTTAATAGAAAACTAGCTGAATTGCAAATGATTTTAAAAATAAGTCTGGGGAATATTAGAAGACTGTAACATCATCTGTCATGCCTGGTTTGTGACCTATCACTGACAGGAAGAGGGAGGCTGGGGGTTGTCTCCTTTCAATGAAGAATTTATTTTATTTTTTTTATAATTTTTTAATTTTTATTTTTCAATTACAGTTGGTTTCACTATTACTTCATATTAATTTCAGGTGTACAGCATAGTAGTTAGAAATTTATATAATTTATGAAGTGATCCCCTGATAAATCTAATACCCATCTAATAACACCATATGTAGTTGTTACAATATTACTGACTGTATTCCCTGTGCTGTACTTTACATCTCTGTGACTATTCAGTGAACAATTCTTGTGGATGTGTTTGGAAGTATGTGCCAACTAGTCCCTCTGATCAGCTTCCTCCAAGCAAGGACTTTTATTCTGTGACTATAATCTTAGGAAGGCCACGCTCCCCCATCTGCCTACTTAGTAATCAGTTTGGAACTTTTTCCCAGGGCAGGTGTGAAAGCAGCCAAAGCATCTTTAACACAGGCAGGACCATAGGTATAAATTACAATCAGGTACACTTACATGTTTGAAACAGGGTTAATTTTGGTTCTGGCTGGGGACATGGCTCATTACATTTCTCTGGCTCAAGTCATACCTGCCATCCCTATCACTTTTTCAGGGTTCTTTTCTCCTCATTCCCGGATAAGGTTTTATCACTCTCTGGAATAGAAGTATCAACCTTGGCTACACATTAGAATCATCTGGGTAGATTTAAAAATTCCCCATTCTTGGGCTGAACTCTAGATCAGTTAAATTAGAATCTCCAGGGGGTGGGGTGAGATCCGGGCATCAGGTGTTTTAAAAAAATTAATAAATAAATTAGTTAATTAACTTTAAGCTATCCAGTGACTCTGATAAGCAACCAAAGTTGAGAAAAAACTCTCTAGCCCCTTCCTACTCAAAGGCTGGTTGAAAGACCAGCACCATCAGCACCACCTGGAAGCTTGGCCGAAATGTTGAATCTCAGGCCCCAGCTCAGACCTACTAAATCAGAACCTGCATGTTAATAATTTCCCGAGGGGATTTATGGATATATTAAGGTTTACAAAATGCTGCTCAGTCCAACCATCTTGATTCCCATTATTATAGCTTTGACGGAATTTTGGAGATTTCTTGGTCTTGTCTGCTCTCCAATATTTTCTTGTATCTTTCTTTTTCTGTTCTCTGCCTTTTGCCTGGTTTCATTCAACTGTAAATACACACACACACACACACACACACACACACACTTACATATGTACTAATGTCAAATAAACTGCACACATTTATAGTGTACAATTTCACAATCAAAATAATAAACATATCTATCATCCTAAAAGTTTCTTGTGCCTCTTTATAATTCCTCCTTCCTGATCTTCCCATCCTGGTCAGGGATCCATTAATATGATTTTTTTTGTCATTGTAAATTAGCTTGCATTTTATAGAATTTTATGTAAATAGGATCATACAGTATGTACTTTTTTTGGGGTCTGGCTTCTTTCACTCAGGCTAATTATTTCGAGATTCATCCCTGTTGTAGACTGTATCAATAATTCCTTCCTCCTAAAGTCATTTTATCTTTCAAGAAGAATTACATAACAAGTGTGCTACAATCTTCCCTCAGCCCTTGCAACTGCAATCTTTCATGCCTCAAACTTCTGCCCTTGCTGGGTTCTGGAGGCAGAATGCCATGGTTTTACCAGCAATCTATATAGGCCTATGGCCCCTAAATGGAAATGACAGATTCATTTCCAAGTGGATGACACATAAAGAATTGACAACTGAGTTAGAGGTCAATATTTCTGGGTAAAAGCATGAAAGAATACTTTTATTAAAAAAATGTGAGAGTATATGTGAAAGGGCATTGACCATTTGCATGCACATGGCCATCTACCAGATGCTATCAAATGTCCCCAAAAAGAAAGACCACCTTTGTTTTTATCCTTTTATAATAGTATTTTAACTGTTGTAACTATTGTAATAATCAACATCTTAGCCAATTTTTAAAATTATTTTCTACACTTTACTTATTTATTTATTTAATTTGACATTCAATATTATTTTATATTAATTTCAGCATAGTGGTTAGACATTTATATAATTTAAGAAGTCATCCCCCTGACTAGTCTAGTATGTCAATTGGGTTTTAAATGCCTGTTGTTGAGACACAGATCTCCTCTTAAGACCACTGAGGCCTAGACATGCCAGTTATAAATGTCTTTTAACATGTTTTTCTTATAATATGAAATGCTCATGGACTTGTCCTATAATATATTAGATATTATTATAGATATTAGATTGGATTATAGGGTTATTATGATTTAAACAATTAGTATAAAAAGATTAATGAGTCAAATAGATAGCTTAGAAGCAGATGTTACAATATGCTTATATCTATGTGTGAAATTAACATATAATAAAGAAAGTTTTGTAAATCAGAGGAGATGACTGGAGTGTTCATTAAATTCAGCTGAGAAAATTGGTTGTTTGGGAAAACAAATTTTCTGTATATCACAATAAACCAAAAATTTATTTAAAATTTAAATTTAAAAATGGAAAGCATAAGAAATCTGGAATAAAATAAAGGTGAATATTTGGTCTCTAGATAAGAAAGTTTTATCTAAACAAAAATAATAAAAAATCAAAAAGAAAATGATTAATGCATTTTATTTAATATGCATCTAAAACTTCATTTTCAAATACATATAATAAAAGTATATAACAAACTAGGGAAACATTGCAGCAACAGAAAATGTTAGTAAACGTCCCTTATATGTAAAGAATTCCAATAAGTTGATAAATGTGCTGATTGAGAAAGATGAGAATACAAAAATCACTTTAAAAAATCATAAAGCATATTGGAGAAAGTCAGCAAAGGGCAAACCATTTCGCAGAAGAGGAAATGTGAACATACATAAATAAAAACAATTTTAACTAAATTGTTTCCAAGAACTGCAAAGGCTTAAAAGTCATTCTGACTTGGGGAAGAGCCAGAAGTTGCATGGTGCCACATTGGGTGAATAAGGTGGATGAGGACCCACCACAATGTTTTTATTTGACAGAAATTGCCGTACCAGAAGTGATGTGTGACATGGAATCTTTCCATTGCAATCACAAAACTCGTTGAACGCTCCTGCCCAGTGCCATCTGATGAAAAGGCAGGAATTTTACATACAGAAAGCAGCACTTCGAAAGTTAGTAACAGTGTGTGACAAGATTCAACTGGTTTGGTGCAATCAGATGGGTGTGAGCTATGGTTGAGAGAAGGTGTGTTTTAAAGTGTGTCATAAATCATCCACCATCATGACAATGCACCGTGTCACACATCGCTTCTGGTACAGCAATTTCTGTCAAATAAAAATATTACGGTGCGTCTCATCCACCTTATTCACCAGACCTGGTACCGTGAGACTTCTGGCTCTTTCCCAAAGTAAAAATGATTCAGGACATCAAGGCAGCCAAGACAGTGCAGGTAAAGACACTCACGAAAGAGGACTTCCAGAACTGCTTCAGAAAGTGACAAGAATGATGGGATAAGTGTGTTTGAAATGAGGGGGATTAATGGCAATGCGTCTTTTATTGTAATACATTTTCTTTTTATTTAAACATTCACCATATTGTTTGATCACACCTCGTACAACCAAAATTACTCTACCCAGCAAGGCTATCATTTAGAATTAGGACAGATAAATAGTTTCCCAGATAAAAAAAAGCTAAAGGAGTTTATCACCACCAAACCATTATTACAAGAAATGTTAAAGAGATTTCTTTAAGAAGAAGAAGAAGAAGAGGGAGGATAAGGAGGAGGAGGAGGAAGAGGAGGAGAAGGAGGAGGAGAGGAGGAGGAAGAGAAGGAGGAGGAGAAGGAAGAGGAGGAGGAGGGAGAGGAGGAAGAGGAGGAAGAGGAGGAGAACAAAGTAGTCAAAAATATGAATAATGAAACAGCAATAACTGAATATCTGTCAACAATTACTTTAAAAGGATTAAATGCTACAATCAAAAGATATAGGGTGGCTGAATGGAAAGAAAACAAGACCATTACATATGGTGCACATAAGAGACTCACTTTGGATCAAAAGACACACACAGACTGAAAGTAAAGGGATGGAAAAAATATTTCATGCAAATGGAAATAAAAAAAAGTTGGAGTAGCAATACTTATACTGGACAAAATAGACTTTAAAAGAAAGACTGTAACAAGAGAAAATGTTAGGACCAAGCAATTCCGTTTGTGCATATTTATCCCAAGAAACCTAAAACACTAATTGGAAAAGGTATATGCATCTCTATGTTCACTGCAGTAGTCTTTACAATAACCATGGTATGGAAGCAATCTGAGTATGGCTCGATAGACAAATGGAAAGAGAAGCGATATATATATATACAGTGGAATAGTACTCAGCCATAAAAAGAGTGATGTCTTGGGGTGGCTGGTTGGCTCAGGTGGTTAGAGCGCAGGCTCATAGCACCAGGGCTGCCAGTTCAATTCCCATATGGGCCAGTGAGCTGTGCCCTCCACAATTAGATTGAAAGACAATGGCTTGACTTGGAGCTGA